TCTGACTTTTTCACTCGTTTGACGGTGAGAGAGAGCGCAGGATATTTCAAATCTTGTTGGTGCAAAATAGGACCTCGGATAGCATACACAAAGTGCCGTCATTCACACGCGTTTTAGGGCTCTTTATGATTTGAACGAAGAGTTTCAGAGAAAATATAAGCTAAAAATTATTTATTTAAAGACATTAAGAAAGAGAAAACGCTCATTTGGTACAAAATGGCAAATATTTTATTTTAAATTAAACTAAGCATTTATTTTGAATTAGGAGAAACTATATTTATTTTATTTTTAGGATTTTTTACTTTAAACTTTTTAAGCTTAGGTATATGTTTAGGTTCTTACAGGTACTGCAATTTTCGTGGTATCTCTTGTTTATTTATCAGCGTTATTAGAGGCTATCAATCGATTTTCAGTCCATATTTTCAGCCAACCTATAGTCGAGTACGAGTCCCGAATGGTCACTATCTCATGGCACGGTTACGATCCGCCCGCCCAATCAATTTGCTTTGTACACGAATCACGGAACAGCGCTATTTGGCAGCGTCGAACGTCGACTATTCGCAAGAATTTTCTACCACGGTAATGAATGACCTACTTTTGCACTGTTGGTAGTTTTGAGACTCCTCATTTGGGTTTAATTTGAAGCTGTTCATATAGATTTTTGAGGCTCTTTAACCGAGATCGTTTTATGTACATTTTCTTTTAAAATTGCTTCAATAAGTGTTGTATCTTAATGAAAAGAATGAGTAGGATATGACTTTTGACCTTATTCCTCCCGCTGCGAACTTTCATTTGACATTATACATTCCAAAAATAGATCAAAGAACCTCCAGTTCCTTATTCCTACCATTATTCACCCAAAGGTTGTCATATGAGCAAATAATGTGACCAGCTGTGTGTCCCTCGCACTTGTCCCCTATTTTTTCGTGCAGACCGGGAATCCGGGATAAATCAAGGTGTTCCCGCAGCTCACCGGCAATTCGCCGCTTTTGCCCCAAACGGGCCCATTTGCCCGCGTCGAATTTTTGGCGCGCGTCTTGCGAGCTTCTTATGGTTAGAAGAAAAAAGCGCAGAAGCAGGTTCATTGATGTGAAATATGGCGTTAACATCTTTCTTTGTCTTTCTAAAGTATATGTTAATACCGCATGCTCGTCGACGACAAATCTCTATTCTTCAAACATACCTAAAGCATTTTCCTGATACCACTTTACTTCATTGTATTTTGACAAATGACGTAAAAGGAAAACCATTAAATTTTAAATTATTTTAATTATTTACAAGAAATGGTGCCGAATTTTTGGAAAGGTTCGAATGCAGTTCTCTTTCTGTTCAAAAATAAAGGAATGTTTTCTTTGAGTAAAGTTCTACTCTGTTTAGTTCAAAGAGACAAAAGCTCTCAATCAGTTAAAAGTTTAAACATTTTATTTTATTTCATCATTCAAATCTACTTGCCCAGCATTAAAACAAACTCCAAAATTCCGGAAGACAAGTATAGGGGAAGCTTGCACTTAGCAGTACAGTTTATACACAACAAAGTTCTGAATACACTAATACTTTAATACATGTCTTTAATACACGCAGCCACAAAGCTGTTCCGAATTGAAGTTGTACTTATCTTCTACACATTTTCATCGCCCGCGGCGCGCTGCGAAATGAATTTTTAGTTGAAAAAGACAATTTCCCTGACTGCGAAGACACACTGAAGGATGATGTTATGAATTCTTAGAACGTGAATATTGTTTAAGTATTCTTTGACTTAAGAAAGTGCAATATGAAACTCGTGCAGTTTTCTATTTGGTCTATTTATACTCTGGAGTCGACGTGTCTTTGAAATCTGGGTATGAATATACAAGATTATATAATCCTTTATCCTCAGTGGGAATATATTTGACTGGATACTGGATGAGAATGCCTTATGGCATTAAGTTCGCCTAGTGTTAATGTTTTTGGCATTGAAGTATAAATAAATATTTCCCATCATATTTTTAACCATTTATTCGCTTGTATTAAAGCCCAAAAAGGCAAAAACAATGATTTTTAACATGTTATCTCCATTAAAGGGTTAAATATTTTCTGGAATCCATTAACCTGTTGATTTTCATAGTATACAGTACTAAATTGATTTGTGCCTTAGTCTAGACGAGCCAAACCGCAACTATATTAAATGTTAGATTTGCTTGAAATATTTTACTAAGTACCTCTACCTACTTCGATTATGAATTGAGCCATAGTAGGTATTTATTGATCTTGGAGGGTAAATAATTGTGATATTAGCTTGATAATATTGAACTGTTAGATTTTTTCAGCTCATTACAGACTTCTAAGCCCAAAATGAATGGTCTCCTGTCTCCTTAATCTCAATGTTTCGCTTCATCATCATCATCATTTCAGCCATAGGACGTCCACTGCTGAACATAGGCCTCCCCCAATGACTTCCACATCGCACGGTTGGTAGCGGCCTGCATCCAGCGCCTTCCCGCTACCTTTATCAGGTCGTCGGTCCACCTTGTGGGTGTACGTCCCACGCTGCGTTTTCCGGTACGTGGCCTCCATTCCAGAACCTTACTGCCCCATCGGCCGTCAGTTCTGCGTACTATGTGCCCTGCCCACTGCCACTTCAGCTTGCTGATCCGTCGGGCTATGTCGACTTTACGTAATGTTTCGCTTATTACATCATTATTTGGAGCGTCGACAAATTGAAAGCGAGTCTGCAGCCCGTTTGATTCAATTTCATAAGGCCGCTCACTTTGTGCCCGCCCGTGCATCCGAGAGCTGTCTTCACGAAACGCTTTGTTTATATCACGTTATTATTCAGATTTCTTTAAAGAACAGCTGAAATTCAGCTGGAATTTTTAAAGAAAATACTGTAATATGTTTGAAAGCGACCTTGTTTGTTGGAATTCTGAAAAAGTTAGTCACGAACTTACGAATCAAAGCAATTAGCGCCAATTTCGATACTACGAGTACATTCGTTAATATTGGTGGTAAGACGATATAAGTCGAATATTGTGTAACAATATTAAAATATTGATGAAACTCATCTCTACCAAGTCTGTCCCGCTTCTTTAAACTAACCTATTGTCTTCGGACTTAAATTGATAAATTAACTAAGCAAATACAAAAACAATTCAATATGAAAGTAAAGTGATTTCTTTAAATAGGAATATCTCATCAATAGGTACCTATTCAGTTTTGTGTACTGTTTTAATCTAAGTATAGATAAGATACTGATAAGGGCTGACTTTTCAATCGTCGGATAACTTTTGTCTTAAGAATAAGTTTGGTACATTGACAGAGTATGGGAAATATGTCAAAATGACAGGCTTATTCTTCAGGTAAAATTTCTAACGATTGAAAAATCAGCCCGAAGACAAATAAAGCACGTAATAAAAGTGAAATCCACTGTCAAAGAGCGGTCAGCCGGCAGACGTCAAACCTAAAGAATCGACAAAGTGCACGCGGGGAAATGACTCGTCTACGCCGGACGCGATATTGGCGAGGCGGCTAGTGATGCACGCTTAACACATTCATTTTATCGAGGTTTTGAGAGGCTTGTGCCCGTTTTCACCATCAATCCCTAATTTTTAAGTGACCCCTATTACTTTTGACTGATTTTTTTTATGAAAACAAAATTCCTGTTATGTTTTACCATAGGGGTCACTTAAATTTGGGATTAATGGTGAAAACGGGCATTAGTCTGCAACCTGCCATCTATCACATAAAAAATAGACTACTTACCACAAGGGAGGCGCCACCTAAACTCTTGATTGAGTTAAATAGGAATAACTCTGACGTCAAATTAAATTTTGGCGATTGAAAGTAACTTTAACATTGCAAAGGCACATTATTTATGGAGCTAAAAGGAAGCATAGAATTTATAGTTGGATTCGTGACATACAGACGCTCAAAACTCAAGAACTAAACTAACTTTTTGTTAATCAGCAGTGGATATTATACTGATAGTTATCAAGATGAAAACCTGAGTTAAAGGATAGTGCCAGGGTCTAGACCAAGTGTTGCCCAGAATCAACCCATAATGCATTTTGTTCCTCGGGCCTATACTAATGTGTAAACCGAAGCGCACTGTAATCTATCCCTGGAGTTAAGAGAAAAAAAGAGTTTTGATTTGAATTATTTACATACAAAATATCATCGATGTATACGTACTACACATAAGATTTCGGGATTTTGGCATTAAATAACACTCTCTATGTTGAACTTAACCATAATGCATCCGTACACGTTACTTTAGTGCGATTTAGACATTCTTTATAAACGATCTAGCGCTGTTTTAATTGTTTGGTAAGTTGACCGAAATTCATTATTTCCAAAAATGAAGCAAGAAGTTTTAGTTCTCTATCCTTGCAAAAATCCATTTATTGGTGTATTACAATCGATTATAGATGTTACTGTTAGCTAAAACTTCTTGCTCTATTTTGGGAATAATTAATTTCTGTCAACTAACCAAACTATTGCAACAGCGCTTGATTGCTTATAAAGAATGTCGAAGTCGTACTAAAGTACGGTGTACGGATGCAGTATGGTTAAGTTCAACATAGCGAGTGTTATTTAATGCCAAAATCGCGAAATCTTATGCGTAGTACGTATACATCGATGATATTTTGTATGTAAATAATTCCAAACAAAACTCTTTTTTGCTCTTAACTCCAGGGATAGATTTCAGTGCGCTCCGGTTTATAAATTACTCTTGGCCTGAGGAACAAAATGCACTATGGTTTCATTCTGGGCAGCACTTGGTCCAACTTCCATACATGGATTGGCACTGTCCTTTTATCGATAACACTCATAAAACTGAACTATCGACAGAGAAAACATCATACTGTCGTCTCTTTGAACATTGCGCCTCCGGCCGCAACGCGAGACACGGATTATTGCGGTAATTTGTCGCATTTTAGTGTTTCTACTGCAGTTCAACTTCAAATTTTATACTTTGTGTATAAACCATGTTCTTACACAGAGACGTTTTCGNTTGTCACTACCACCGTTGTTGCTATCACCGTCAGGGATGACGCGATCTCCACAGTTAACGTTCTCCGGCCAGTCACATGTGTCAGTATTGGGGTTGAAAAGAAGGTTACCAGGGCAAGCAAGGGCTACAGGGCTGCCACCATTGCAAATGTAGAACTTATTGCATTTCTCGTGAGCAACAAGGATGCCATCTGAATCTTCTGCGGCGCAGATTGCGGGAGCCTGGCTTGGGTCGCAGTTACCAGCTCCAACATTTTCATTGCCGTTGCCATTACCACCGTTGTTGCTACCACCGTTGTCGCTACCACCATTGTCGCTACCACCGTTGTCGCTACCACCATTGTCGTTACCATTTCCACCGCTCTCACCATCAGGGATGACGCGGTCTCCACAGTCTACGTTCTCAGGCCAGTCACATGTGTCAGTCTGAGGGTTGAAAAGAAGATTGGCTGGGCACCTCACGGCTACAGGACTGCCTCCATTACAGATGTAGAACTTGTTGCATTTCTCATGAGCAACGAGGATGCTGTCTGAATCATCTGCAGCACAGATTGCGGGGGCCTGGCTTGGGTCACAGTTGCCAGCTCCAACATTGCCATTACCGTTATCATTACCTCCATTGTCGCTACCGTTTTCGTTACTTCCATTGTTGTCGTGACCACCATTGTCATTTCCATTCTCTTCATTACCATTTCCACCACTCTCTCCATCAGGGATAACGCGGTCTCCACAGTCTACGTTCTCAGGCCAGTCACATGTGTCAGTCTTGGGGTTGAAAAGTAAATTACCGGGGCATCTGAGAGCTGTAGGCCTGCCTCCATTGCAAATGTAGAATTTATTACATTTTTCATGAGCAACGAGGATACTGTCTGAATCGTCTGCGGCGCAGATTTCTGGGGCTTGGCTAGGGTCACAGTTACCAGCTCCAACATTTCCATTTTCACCATTACTGCTGTCGTTACTCTCGCTATCGCTACTACTGTTATCGTTACTTCCATTGTTGTCGTTACCATCACTTTCGTTACTCTCACTATCGCTACTACTGTTATCGTTACTTCCATTGTTGTCGTTACCATTATTTTCGTTACTCTCGCTATCGCTACTACTGTTATCGTTACTTCCATTGTTGTCGTTTCCACTATCTTCGTTACCATTTCCGCCATTCTCGCCGTCAGGGATAACTCGGTCACCGCAATTCACGTTCTCAGGCCAGTCACAAGTATCAGACTGCGGATTAAACAGAAGGTTTCCTGGGCAGCGGAATGGTACAGGCTTGCCGTGAACACAAATGTAGTATTTGTTGCACTTTTCATGAGCTACCAATACACTGTCAGAGCCTTCAGCAGCACAGATTTCAGGAGCCTGACTAGGATCGCAGTTACCAGCTCCAGCGTTGCCGTTATCATCAGCACCATCGTCGCTGTCATTATCACAGTTTCCATCGCAACCACCGTTGTCACCGTCGGAAGTAATTCTGTCTCCACAGTCAACATTTTCGGCCCAGTCGCATGTATCAGTCTTGGGGTTGAAGAGTAGGTTGGCTGGACAGCTTATTGCCAAAGGTAGTCCATTCTCACAAATGTAGAATTTGTTACATTTTTCATGAGCGACTAATACTCCGGCTGAGTCTTCTGCTGCGCATATTTCCGGTGCTTGACTAGGATCACAGTTTCCGGCTCCAGCACCGCTGTCGTCGTGGCTGTCATCAACTTCGTTAGATTCCTTTTCCGGTACGTTCCTGTCGGCGCAGTCGACGACTTTGGACCATTCACAACGATTAGCTTCTATACTGAAGTAAAGGTCAGATGGGCACGAGTGTACGACTAGCTGTCCATCCCAGCATTGGTAAAATTTATGGCAATCTGGATGAGGGAACAGTTGCTCAATCGACCAGTCCTTTGGACAGCCGTTTGAGTATAAACCGTCCTCAGTTTTTGCTAGTGCTACTGCACATAGCAGTATTAATGCTGCGTCTGAAAGTAAAATAAATTATTTTATTTAAATAATAACTAACACAACTTTTCAATTTATGTCTGACTGAACCTATAAAGTCGTACCTAATAGTTGTTTAGTCAGTTTCCGAATAAAATTTAAAGCGTAGGATTTTTTTTAGAACTTCTTTTTACATCTTATTATTTATTTTTAATGCTTATAAAAAGAAACAATCCGATCAGTGTAATAACTAAAGATTATAAGGCCGTATTTATAAAATAAAGCTCGGTAAAGCATAGGTATTTAGTTTGTATGATATTCTGATTTGATATGTGGAATTGTTACGCTCATAATTAATGAACTGTACAGATGAGATTTTTGATTAAGTATTTTAAAATTTAGATCAACTTCAAACTTTATAAAAGGATGCAAATGATTACTTCATTAATTTGGAAAGTAAAAAATAAAATAATATTAAATTATGTGACTCGTAGTTAATTATTTATTTTTAAAATACCATATAAAATGCCGCGAATAATATTGAAGACAGTTAAATTAAAATTTATAGCCATTGAAAAATGGTGACGCCTGGTAAACTGTTAGAATTAACTTACCCATTAGTGAAAAAGCAATTAAATAGTTATTAATAGTTTTAAACGATAACCTCCTTGTCTATTATACGCTGATAAAAATCTAAACTATTTAATTAAAATGTTAATTTTCGTAATAATATGTAACAATACTTACATTTCATGAATATATCCGTTTAATTACTTTTTTTTTTACCAACTGAACACAAAAACTGATAGTGAAATGCAATTGTCAAGCATTTATATAGGCCCAGGCCGTTGTTCGGGACTTAAGCTTTGATAATTTTGATTTATCTCTTTGATTACTGTTGATCGTTGATTTTATAAGATTACCAAGAAATATGCTTATTTTGATCATTTTTTGAAATGATTAATCTTATTTATGCATAATTATCACTTTCAGATCTGGAAACGTCCTTTCGAAGATTTTGGTTTTGATTGTTATAATATAAAACGATTATGAAAATAACTTTAAATAGGCCGGGTAGCAGAGAAAATGGCGAAAATGAGGTTTTCATTTTTCATTTTTGAGGTACTAAACAGTAAAATTAAAGGCTAAGATTTTTATTGGGCATAGTTGAGGATATTTTCTAGGGCTATTAACGGATGGAAACACGATTTGATGAAGTTGACTCGATAGAATAAATTCCCAAAGTTACCTCTATTCGTTTTCTATTTATGGTTTTATTTTTAAAATAAGCGATTTGAGATTCTAAATCTTTTACTAAACTAAAGTTCAGAAATAACTTGAGGGCTTTTAACGGATGAAATTTTTATATTGCGTCTTATTTAGTTACTATGTTAAAAAATGTGGAAAAAATCGTCCATGACGGCTTGGACATCTCAATCAGTCGCGCGGTGGCGCTTACGGAGGACGGACGCGTGTCAGTTTTTTGGCCGTGACAGTTCGCGATTTGTCAATATTTTTGACAATGATGACTTTGATGAGTCACAGTATAATAATATCAGTGTTACTGAAGAAAGCTTAAAAAATTTTGATAATTAAAAATTATCAATTTTGTCTACCTACCTATTGAAATTTTAATCGTTCGCATCCTGTTAAACGAAGACTCTACTCATGATACATAGTACATTCCTCAAATATGAGACAAAACCAATGAGTTAAAATTACATTTTAATAGTACCTACATACAATCGACTTACACTCTTTAGAAGAGCACACTGACACAAATAAATAATAAAAAATAAAAGTCAACGGATTTCAAACTGGAGTTCATGTGACTCCTTGTAGACTTGAGTGTCTAGAGCTTCCCTTCCTCCACCATGCGTAAGAATTTTCACAAAAATACTGTCTAAGATCTGTAGCTAAAGGTCTACTCTGCAAGATGGAAGAATCTTCTAACCAAAAAGATGGCAGATGCAGCAGATGTCAACGGATTTAAAACTGGAGTTGATGTGACTCCTTGTAGACTAGAGTGTCTAGAGCATCCCTTCCTCCACCATGCGTAAGAATTTTCACAAAAATACTGTCTAAGGTCCGTAGCTAAAGGTCTAAGCTGCAAGATAGAAGAATCTTCTAGCCAAAAAGATGGCAGATGCAGCAGATGTCAACGGATTTAAAACTTGGAGTTCATGTGACTCCTTCTAGACTTGAGTCTCTAGAGCGTCCCTTCCTCCACCATGCGTAAAAGGTTTCAAAAAATACTGTCTGAGGTCTGTAATAAAAGTCTAAACTGCAAGATAGAAGAATCTTTTAGCCAAAAACATGTTTTTTCCTAATAACTTTAAAACTATAATTTGATCTAACTAATTATCTGCTATACTCTCGACTCTCTAAAGCACAACATTTATAAAAAATTTGCTGCGGTAATGCACTCCAGGTAACCGTGTGTGATGCTTATTGCTCATAGTGATTTTCGATACAGAGCCCCGTACATACGTTATAGGCATAAATTATGGAAAAAAACACCCAGACCAATACAAACAAATATGTATGCAATTTCAGTATGATATTTTTATTTATTAATAAACAAAAAGACTGAACAAAATTGATGCGTGTACTGATTAATGTAATTAACCACATGCAAAGCTTTGTGAATTGCAACAACTATAATTTATTATCCAAGCTCTAAATAATCGCTACTACGAGTAACTGATCATAAAATGTTTTTCCAATCGCTCAAGTTCCCGAGGATCTACCGATAGGTCGGGTGACGTAATCTTGAAATTCTTTTAGCCGGCGCGGAACTTCCGGAAGGTCGGGTGACGCCACGCCTCTTTGAACCGTGTTTACTTTGGCAGTTATATTCTGTATTTATTCGATTCTAAAATATATTCCCAAAAATTTTGAAAGTTGTTTTAATTTGTATCACTTGGATATGATTTGTATTAGAAAGTGCTGTGAGTGTCACGCTTGAACGGAAGCAAGTCAACCTAACCTAACCAACTGCGTATTTCTAAACTGCATATTTCTATACTGTGTAGCCGCGAGAGCTCTTTGGCGCGCTGTCTTCGGCGAAGAATTGCGCGCGCAGATTTTGACAGCGCGAAATACCTACTTTAGCAGAAATACCAAGCCTTAACATTATTTTTAGAATTTTAGTTATTTTCTAGATTTAGACTCAACTATTCGCTATACCTAATTCCCTTTTTACTGCATTCGCGAACTCTTCTTATATCCTTGTGTAGACAATACGAGACAATAATTACACTTCGTCCAAAATTTTAATTTATGCACATAATAGGTACCTAGGTAATAGTTGCAACTATGTCCATACCTAAAATCTTAGCAATATCAGGCAATATCACTGGTCTATGACAGACTGTCAGAGACCAGTGATATTGCCTGATATTGCTAAGATTTTAAAAAGAGCTTTTGCACATTTCAGTTAATTTAAACCTTGCCCATACCGTGATTTTAGTAGGCCAGTGCCAAAAATAATAATTTATTTACAGAAACCAATGTATATTCATCAAATCCATAATTAATATCACTGTAATAAAAAAAAGTCTCTATTTACCAATTTTTTTAATATCTCTATCGAAAGTTTCTGTGCAAGAGATTTTCCAAGTATTACTAAAAGGTAGTACTTAGGTGCAGTCACCTTTCAGTCAGTACTTTCTTGCGCAGTTTCAGTAAAAGCGCTTTTTAAAAGCCTATTTATTTGTCAAAAAGAAATTACTTTTACGACTGGTTACTAGAAATGGGTCAAATTGTAGTTGGACCAGCATACTAAACTTCTATCCTAATTCCTAAGCGTAATTAGTTTCACTACCAAGAGACTGTACTCATTAGTAAATTGACAGAACTAATAAGATGTTAGAAAACACCGAAACTTGTGCAAGTGAAACCGCGGTCGAAAGTTTATATTTCATGTTGCCGTCAGTGACGTCTGAGCGAGCTAGAAAACACCATTTTTGTCGATGACGTTATGTTTACCGGAACAAATGGAAAATACCAAAGTTTATTACATTCTGAAAATGGTATATGTTCGGCATAAATGTGTTTCATGCAACGGTTAATCAGCCAATTAAATAAATATTACCTAATACCTAAAGAAAATGCAAATTTTTTGCATAGAAATACCATTGATATATTTTATTTTCATTTAAAACAATATCAAATCAACAATAGTTTTATGATAGAAATCCTAATCAATCTTATCAGTCGCGATATTAATGATATCACAGATTGATTTTTATCATCGCCAATTGGTTAATAATAGTATCACAAACAAGTGCGTGATAGTCAAATAAGGAAATCCCTGTTGTGATTAAGGATAATTTAAGTCTCGAGCTTAGAACTTTAGAAGTACATAGTGTAAACGTGATATCTTGCTAAATAGGTTTCGGGCACTTTGTCACGTAGCTACTATAGGCAATAGTGTTACCTCCCATTACCGGTCATGTCGTCTCGTTCTATCGCAAAGACACCATTTGATGAGAGCGAGAGCAAAAACGGAAATGGATAGTTGTTTACTAATAATCCTAAGGACTCTGTCTAGTTAAGCTTAGCGACTAATAACAAGTGGTAACTGTAACTATGTAGGTACATACCTTTAAGCTGAGATCAACTTATTTAACATTCCTTCTGAAGCTCGTAGTTGTTTGTAATTTGACACCAAAGCTCTGCTACAGGGCATCAGCAAAGTTTCTTATTTAAATCGTATGAAGAATCATTTTCTCTAACAAACAAAATTGATAAAAATACCTTGTTGCTATGTATATAAAAAAACAACAATACAATATCATTTTGATAAATTTTCCGTACTGTAATATTAGATTAGATTTAATAGAATATTTTTAAATCCTTTATTGATTTCAAATGCTTGCTCCGAGTGAGTAATACTATTAGTACTATACGTAATATGTAGTCGGTAATAAAACAAATGTAAAGCAACCCTTAAAATACAGTGTCATAATTAATACAAAAAGGAAGGATCGCTATCGTAACGTGTTTCCTAATAGTTTTATCGAAGCTTAAAGTTCACAGGGGACTATTTAAACGATTGATAATAATTAATCTTTATTGAAACAACACAATGTTATATTCTTTTCTACTTTTCAACCATAAGATATCTACTGCCAAGCAAATGCCTCTCCCAAGGATTTTCTCAGCGACTGATCCTGTGATGCCCGCATCCAGATACTTCCCGCAACCGACACCAGATTGTCATGTTCACTGGGAGAAAAGCCTGCTGCCATAGATGTAAAATAAATTGAATCGCTATAAATAAGATTTTCATAAGAATTCAATTCTCGAGGAGGTGTGTATAGAAGATATAGGGTAGGTACCTTTCGGTCTGTCGGCAAATAATAAAAGAATGTAAGTAGATAAGATGACTTTGATTATACAGATACATTAATTATTATTTACTACAATGATTAATATCAACACTACGTCACAATGCTAATGTATTTATTCCACGAATTCGTGATTTTATTTTCCAGCGATAATAAATAAATATCAAAGTTCAAAATTACCCAAGACACTGTGTAGAATTTATATTTTTATAATATATTTACCTACATAAACTTAAGAACAAAAATTACTAATAATAAAAACTATTTACAAAATAAGAAATATTTCACCCCCAGCGCCGCAGTCAGGAATGGTGCCCAAAAGGCTGGCAGCATTGCCACGTTGAATGGCCAGGCTAATTCTCTGACCGAAATAGCTGCCAGCCTTTTGATCACCGGTCACCTCGGTGAGCCTCTTTGCTAGTTCCTTATAAAAGGAACGAGCGATTGGAACCCATGGTCCCATAGTCTCAACCCCAAACGGCACAAATATATAACTCGCATTGAGAGCTGCATATTTGCGCCGCTTGGAGTACTCAGCCGAGGCCGCCGTCGCGCCTGCGGCAAGGGAGGTACCTCCTG